CCCCCACAGCCCCCCACCCTCCAAACGGAGGGGAAATGCGACGGCCCATCAAGTGGCAAAAAACTAGATTTACAAGAGGAAAGAGGCGCATTGTTCAAAATGGAGATTGCATTGTTGCAGTTCGCAGGCCACACGCTCGCTCGCTCGCTCGCTCGCTCGCTCTTTCCCCTCAACCCCCTCTTTTTCCTCTTAAAAATGTGTGCCAGTGCAGTGTCTCCACCGGGCAGAGTTGAAACTTTGGCACACACATATCCATTGCATTCATTTTTCTCCCCTTGTTTTGGTTTGGTTTTTTGGAATGAAAGAAGCCTCTTGTTTTTGCAAACCTCTTTGCATTTCTAATGTGGTTTCTTTTAGATTTTTAGTCTATATCGGTTCCTAAAAAAGGGAATGGAGGATTCAGACAGATTGTGCCATACAAACACACACACACAACATGCTTCTCTTCACACCCCTAGCTGTGTGGTTTTAAAACTGTCTTAAGGAAATGGATCAGTTGGGTTAGTAGGGGAGCCTTATCTGGTCCTGTGTGTTTGTTTTTATTCCTGAGTGCTGATGGGCTCGTGCGACAGTTGCTGGTGAACGGCTGACTAAAAAGCAAAGAAGAAAAACCAAAGAAAACCAAAGGAAACCAAAACAAATTTGCTATTTTATCTGATCCCAATATCATTTTGGTAAAATGCAAAATAAGAGACGGCAGGAACTTGCGTCTTAACACATTTGATCCCTTTGCCTGAGAAATGCAGTTTCCTGTCACCTGTTGCAGAGACGTCTGGTTCATTATGCAGACGTAATTGCTGAAGATGAACTTTTGGACCAACTTCCAAGTCACACAGCAGAAGTATAGGGAAATTTAATGCAAAATGACTTTTTCTTTTCATTCTGTTTCTGAGGGTAATGAGTCCTCCCTCATCTGAGAAAACTCCTGTTTTCTCAGAGAGCTTCTCTAGGCTGGTGCTGAGATACATTTTGTTTATTTAAAAAACACACATACACACAATGGCTGCTGTGTATTAAATACATAGTTGCAGTTTACTAAATTGTGAAAAAATATAATTTATATCAGTAACTTACAAGATCTTTTCCTTTATATTTTTGTTAATCTGAATTAACTGAACTAGAACCCAGTTTTCAGAGCATTTCCAAAGTAAAGTCCATGAAGGAATAGTCTTAACAAAGTGATTAAGGTGTATCACTTGTTTTTTTATAAGAGACTGGAATAGGAGAAGTGGTTAAATGTAAATGTGCCTTTTTTTTTTTAAATAAATGCTTAAATACTCATTGGAGGAGTGTGAGTATTAAGTCTGATGTAAGCCCATTTAGATTGTCCTTGCAGCAAAGGAAAAAGGTAATTTCTTTTGCCTGACAGTAATATCCGTCTTTGCCCGTCTTTGGGGCGGAGTGAGGGGGAGCTGGCAGGAGAATGAGGAGAATGAATCAAATGTCAAGTGTGTATGTCTTGTATGTGGAAAGGACTACACACCATTCTTGCCAACTTAATTTTAGTGCATCTTTTATAGTGATGATTTCTCCCTTACGAATCACATGTGGTCTTTTCTACCAGGAGCCCAGAACTGAAAGACTTGTGGAGAGTAAATTATACTATTGGAGGAGGTTTTCTCAGATTAGACAGAGCTAAGGCGTTTTGGCAGGGTGGTTCAGCTAACTTTAACTCCTCTTTGAAGGCTTAGCAAGTAATATTTAGGGTTGAGAGCGGTGTATATGCTGTTAAATTGCAATTTTGTGGTTAGGGTTCTCTTTTTAAAAAGATCCTGATATCTTTATGTACTCCCATGACATTGTGTTTTTACCGATGACATTCATAGTCTGCCTTGTGTATGCTTGTCCTACCTTTATGTGAAATTAAGGGTTCTGTATCCTTATACTAATCTTATACCCCCTGTATTTCCTAGTGCAGTGTCTCGAGCACACCACAGGTGCTCATCAAAGATTGGTTGGACAAATGATTGTTAGTAGGTGAGAACTTGTAATAGATGAAGTTGTGCTGATTCTCCAGTGGGTACCATAATTCCTGAATATTTTGGATGTGGGAAACTAAAATTTGACCTAATTAGATTTTGATCGTTTGACCAGTTTATAGTAGCAGAATTAGTGTGTTTTGAGCTGCTGTTTCATATTGCTTGCCAGGCATTTTCCTTTCTTTATTAGATGTGGTGTTAACTTGTTAGATGTTTTACTTTTGAAACATTATTTCTCAAGATTTTGGTGAAAGAGATGATACATTGTACATCCTAAACTTTTAGAATATGTCCACTTGCCTTGAATAGCAATTCATGATAGTGAGTTGTTTAGGCTAAGCCCTTGTTTCATTTGTTTTATTGGGTGTACTTCTAGATAAATGTGTATATGTGTGTATAGCTTTGGAAGGAAAAACGTTCTATAACTGATTTAAGATATCCCAGAAGTTCATAAATAAATATACTTGGTGGATTCGAATTTACCTATGTTGTCAAGACTAAAAAGAGGAGTATACTTTCCTGGTAATTTAGAATAAGTTGATTAAGTCTTGTAAACTAGAATGTTGGCTTAAGTACCAACATAAGAATAAGAAATTATACTTAGTATACTTATATACTTAGTATAAGAAATTACTCATTCATCTGTTCGTATATTGAGTACTTCGTAGGTAGTATACCTGTTGATGCAAGAACATTGGTTGATGTTACTAGATTAATTTTCTAAGACCATAGATTTAAAAAAGTTCAGTGGAGGTAAATGTTTTCTTCTTAATGAAGAAAAAATTTAAATGGATATGTAAGGTCCTCACATGACATGTTACTATAGGGATGGCAACTTGTTAATAAAAATTTGAAATCATCTAGCTTTGCTTAAGTTCAAAGCATTTGGTTGCATAAGGCTTTTAGTATTTTTATTGTTAAAAGTTAGAATTATTTCAGACAGTATGTTTTATGACATACTTTTGAAGCACATTGAGAAGAATCGTATAGAAAATGTTTTGCATAGGCATTTGGTAAAATTCCGACAGCACCTTGAAATCAAGTGTTTGCTAATTCAAAAAAGTTTAAGTCAGACTTTAAACAGAGCTTTTCTTTCGTTTAATTTGTGCGGGACTTATGAGAATACTTAGCTGCTATTTTGAAATTTGGAACTTCTGGTGACCTCAGAAAATAGAAGCCGCGGTGTTATCCTGGAAGAATTAGTGATTTGTGTCCTCTAAGATTATGACAGTTGAGGTGGGTGGCACGGGTGCCATGAATGAACTTCAGATTTATTGGAAAAAGAATTTGTTACTCGTTTGACAATATTTATTCCCACCAGTTTCAAGCAAATATCTTTTCAGTATGCTTGGGATTCCTGATTGCTACAAGTGAGATAGATTCAAAGTACTGTGGAGATTGAAAGGAGGGCGGGCTCATACGCTATATGGGGCAGTTGGTATGGATGTCTGCTTCCTGGATGGGCATGTGGCTAGTGAGGATGGGGATGTGGCCAGTGTGGATGGGTGTGTAGCTAGTGAGGATGGACACAGGCAGGGAGGGAGCAGCATAAACCAAGGCACTGACTTTCAAGTGTGGGCAGTCTTAAGTAACCTACTTTAGCAAGAGCCTGAGTATATGAATAGGAAACTGTTGGGCGATAGTTAGAGGACTAGGCTACAGCATTTTTCCTCTCTCCCTCATCTGTTGGGTAAGGATTGGGCTAGATCAGTGGTCCTCAGTCATTTTTCACTTCTGGACCACCCAAGGGATGTGCTATATTCCTATCAGCACTGGGCAAGGAGCATGAAACAAAAGGACATTAAATCACAAATACTATTAAATCGTCAATTTAGCCAGCTCTTTCCCCCCTGCAAATTGAGAAAATTAATGGAGAGGTGACATCTGAAGCCCTTTCTTTTCTCTCCAGTCTATTTCAGATCTATTTCACTTGTGGGTATCAGGGATCAGTCAGAAGATCTGGAAATAAGTGGGATATGGTTTCAGTGGGACGCCAGGAAATTTAGCATTGCTTCCATTCTGCAGGGTGGATTGAAAGAGGACAGATAACTGGTGTGGATGTGGATGGGTTTTATAGCCCTGGAAGGAAACATCAGTCCAGGCGGTACTTCAGAATTCTCCAAACCTGGACAGCATCAGAAGTGTAGACAGAGGGCTTCATCAGATAGGCCTCTGTAAGAATGGCAGTGTTTTCAATAGCAACAGGCATTCAGGATTATAAGAGAAATTAATGAGATCTGTTTTCAGGTATAAGTACTTGAAGAGGTTAAACATGAGAATTAAAAGAAAGAAAACGAGGGCCCCAGAGAGTTATTACAAAGTTGGACAACGTGATCTGTGAGTGGTAGAGAGGTGTGTCTGAGGTATGCAGTAATGGATGGTCTTGTGCACCACCCAGGCCCAGTACTCCGCTGGGGTGTTAGTGGAAGTCGAGCTGGGTATTGCAGTGTGTGTGCAGCAGGACGGGGGATCCTAAGGCCAGGAGCGCTGCTTTCTTCCCTCAGGTCCACCTTTCTTCCTCTTCAGGACACTGTCCTCCCTGTGACTGCAGATTCTTGGAGTGGGGATGTGGGGGGTGAGGAGGTGGTTGGGGTGAAGGGAGACCAGTAGTCTGGGTGACAAAGACAGGAGCAGATCCTAGCAGAT